AGTCCAGAGTCACAGACAGACCCGAGTCACAGACAGGCAGAACAGAGACACTGACAGTCCAGAGTCACAGACAGACCTGAGTCACAGACAGGCAGACCAGAGACAAAGACAGACAGTCCAGAGTCACAGACAGTCTAGAGACACAGACACACCTGTTATTTCTCGGACAGTTCCAAAGACTTTGAGTTTCTCTGGATCAAGAGCGGAGATGTTGTGGTAGGGATCCCTGAAGAGAGAGGGAGAGCAGAAGTGCAGAAGAAAGGTTACAAACGAGAGGAGTACATTCTGCACAACGAGCTCACTTAGTTGCTAGTAAGTGATCTGAGCGTCTTGTCCAGGAGACAAGGAGATGACATACTGAGCTGCAGCTACGAGTTTCCCTCAGAATGTCTCCTCCCCAGGAGGATTGAAAGGATTCTGGCTTGTGTGGGACTTCTGGGATTAGATTTATGTTATTTTGTGGAAGACAGTTTCTCTAATCCCTGGTTATTTCTCAGAGCGTAGCAGAAAGCTCTTCTCTGTCTCTGGTCAGATACTCAACCAGCCCGTGTGGTCTGTTAGAGGCCTCACAATACTCCCAGGTGCCAATGTAGGGAACCGCGGTGTAGAGGCGGTAACACCACAGAAAACATCAGTGCCGATACTCTCCCTCTTCGAGAGGCACTGGCAGCAGTGTGGAGCTGCAGGTGGGGTTCTGGCCTCAGGTTGTGGGTTCAAATCGCAGGAGAGACACTGCTGTTGTACCCTCGAGTATACTAGTTCACCTGAATTGTGGCATTAAAAAACCCGTCTGCATAAAAGGGGGCAAATGTAAGCGGCTTTGGATGAAATCTTCAGCTGAATAGGACAGTCAATCCTTGAGTACTGAGACTTCGGACAAGTACGTCACTGGTCGTTCTTTCAGACCGGTTGTGAAACAGGACAACAAACAACACACAGGTGAAAGAGTGAAAGTACATTGGGGGCCAAGAACAGGAGACACCTCACGAGGCTGGAAAAGGCTACAGATTGCTGAAGCCGAGACCCTGACTTCTTTTAAGAAGTGTCTGGACAGGGTCCTCGGATCAATCAATCACTAGCAACTGAGCAGGCTAGTTAGAACCCAGGAGACAGAGAGCCAGCCCGTGAGATACTAGTGCAGCGCTCGTGCTGTGAGCGTCGTGCTCACTGTTCACGCTGGACGGGAGCGGGAGGGGGCTCACCCGTTGATGCCGGTGGTGAGGAAGTGCAGGCTGCCCTGGATCTTGGTGCAGTTGATGAAGCTGTCGATGTTTCTGGAGTCCACTGTCTGCCTGTCGGCAGAGCCGGTGCCCATACAGACTGGGGAGAGAGGGGAGAGGGTGACGCCCTGGACACCCCAGGCACACGGACGAGGGGATGTCTAGGGGGTGCGGGTGTAGGTACCTTTAGGGCACAGCCCCTCGCATGGCTCACACTGTTTCTGCCCATTCTTCTCCACCTCCATCTTGTCAGTGGGGCAACTGCGCACACAGGAGCTACCGTCCACCACATAATTCCCTGAGGGAGAGAGGGAGAGGGGTGAGAGAGAGGAGCAGAGAGGGAGAGAGGAGTGAGAGAGAGGAGCAGAGGAAGAGAGGGAGAGAGGAGTGAGAGAGAGGGGCAGAGGAAGAGAGGGAGAGAGGAGTGAGAGAGAGGGGCAGAGGAAGAGAGGGAGAGAGGAGTGAGAGAGAGGGGCAGAGAGGGAGAGAGGGAGAGAGGGGGAGAGGAG